ATTTTAATCAATTAATTTTAATTTGGACAAAAAGTTAAGGTTTTTGAAAAAATAAGGTTACCTAGTGGGAAGACTGAGAGAGTCATGGGGACAGTAAGCATGACTTTTCTTCCATAACTGTCCGAGAGATTCCCAACCAAAGGCATTACCACAAGTGATCCCAAACCTATCATCTGCACCCAAATTACACACGAATATCTTTATCACATATATATGCATTAATTACAAGGTTGAAAGGGCTACTTAGTGTGTGATTAGATATGCTTCCATTGAAATTTCTTCTTTTCACCACTAGAAAAAAATATTTGAAAAACTTATTTTGTTTTTTTATTAGGGATAAATGTTTGAAAAACATTTTGAGAGAAAAAAAATATGAGTAGATAAATTGATATATATTTATTTTAAAAATTGAATTATTAAAATCTAGGTAAGAAAGAGTGAGTGATGACTGCCGTACTTTAAGAAAAAAAATATATATATATAGTAAGATGAAAATACTTTTTTGATTTCATGATTAATGCGTGAGTTGATGCCAACGGGAGCAGTCAAGAAAGAAAAGAATTAAAGACAATGAAAAGAAGAAGGAAGATGAAAAAAAAAGAAGGGAATATTTACGTTTCCAATTCTAATTACAACATAATGCAGGCATACTTTCCATCAAATTGACATTAAGTAATTGAGAATTATTTGAAAATACATTTAGATTAAAAAAAATAAAAATAAAAAATCAAAGGATATGAAAATGCTAGTGCTACAATTAGGTGGTATCCATTTGTCTTCCACATGTTACCTTATTTTTCGTAGTTTTTGATGACAAACTCGATCCAAAATTACATACTATTAAGTTTTGATTCAAGCTATCGTGCACGCAAGTTCGCAACATTTGATTGCAAGCAAATTTTCATGCAAAGCCTATATTCAAGTGAAATATTACTTTTAAGTTGTTTCATATTAATTAAATTGAAATAATGTATAGTTTTAAGATTTCAATTCTTAATATTTTTAGATAATTTTTTTGTTTTTTCGTTATGATAACTATCCTAACCCAATTTATTAAATTCAGTAGGAAAAACATTTTTTTTTCTTTTTTTTTTTCTGAAATCCATGTGGCAACTTTCAATGTCATATAATGTCCATATTTATTCTTGTTAGGCGACACATCACGAAACCGAAGCTTTAAGTCTGAAAATCGGCAAGAGGAGAAAGTGATGTTGACCAGAGAAAACCCAACTCAACGGATTGATTCCAATGAAAGGCAATAATTAAGTAATACATTTACATGGGAGTTAAGACAGACGTAATCATTATTATACTCTCAATATTTTTGTATAGTTTTTAACTGAATTTTCATATTTTAAAATACAATATATAAACAAATTTTAATATTTTATAATATAAGTTCAGGGCAGTAAAAATAAACTACACATACTGTGAATGTATTAATACGGTTTAGATTTAGGACACAAAATCCTACTACTTCAGTTCATTAAAATTCCTGAAAAATTTATAATGGAATCAAGTTGAAATTCTTTATGAAAAGAAAAAAGGCATTGTGAATGACTCGGAATGTTGTTCTATTCATTCAAGGTATCGGAAAATAGCGTTTTACCCTTTGTGAAGTGATATTACCAATTGAGCATCTGTTCAATTAAATTAAATGAATATGTATATATAAGATGTGGTTCAAATGAGAATCAAGTCCTAGCGTTAGAATCGTGAGAACCGCTATTTATAGTTGTATGATGTGCTATATATGATTGATTGTATTTTAGTGTTATTTTTAACCAAGATGTATTTTATTAAAAATAACAATACAATTTATATTAGCATTTGTGAAAATGATAGCATAATATAATATTAAGATAACATCATACACAATTAAAAATAGCATCAAATATAGTTCTCACGGTTCTCACACCAAGACTAGTTTTTTATTTGAACCAGCCCCTGTATATATATATATATATATTATATCTATATATCTATTTAATCACCTCCTTTTATTAAGACCTTTTTCCGTTTATTATTTAATTTATTCTTCGGAAGAATGTTCCATGACGAAGAAACAAGTATAGTAAAAGGACTTTATAACCGGCCATGACTTCCTAGTTACATTTCGAGGCAAAAAGTCAAAAATAATTGGTAAAAGATGATGATTGAGGCATATTACCAAGCAGTAAATGCCTGTCCATTTCATGAAACGAGAAATAGGAAAAATTCGACCTTAGTGTCTTGACCCATTTTAATTTCCGGTGATCCAATGATAAAAATGCCTAGTTTAACAATTCAATATATATAGATATAGTTATGATTTTATACTTAGCATTCATCTTTGTTGCATCAATTCGTAGACGACATTCATCTACTTATTTAATCTCATTATTATGCTAAGCCAANAAAAAAAAAAAAAAAATTCGTACAATCATATGAATAAATAGTTACTTATGTGTGCAATTAATTTTTATTTTATTTTCAATTAAGGTGACGAGAGGACAGAGAAGTAATTACCACTTGTTGTGCCCCTGAGAGATATATAGCCAACGAGCATTCGTCTTTTCCGGGACAAATTGCCGCCAACGTGACGTCGGTTATGGCCGGAACCACCATGAAGTTAGCAAAGCAGTGGAGGAACACCGCCATGAATAGGTGGCTCAGCCCAAAATTCTTCTTCATTTTTTTTTTTTTATCTCCAATCTATGTGGGACAAAGAGAGAGCTAAACTCACTCTCACTCAATTCTCTAAAGCAAAGAAATCAAGAATCTTGGGCTCAAATAAATAAGGGGATGATGCTTCTTGTTTTAAACTTTTATATAGTGCTAGAAAAGAAAAAGGGAAAAGCTAAAAAGAAAAGCATTAAATTAAAAGGAAAAAGAAAAGATCAATTAATGAAAACTAAAGATGGATGATGAGGGTGGTTGTTTAGTGAATTAGTGAAAAGATTGGGGGCAAGCTTGTGATTCACTTGGAAGTGAGGGCTTATATAGTAAAAGTGGGGCGCATAGACCATCTGGTCACGGGGTTGTGTTGGGGCACTATTATAGGTCAAAATAGTAACGAAAATGCTATGCGTAGCTTGTAAGTTGTTGCAAGGGCATTTTAGTAAATGCACAATCAAGTGTACAACAACTGCTTACGCTTTGATGCGTACAAGCTTGAGCAACATCTCTTGGTGATTTAGATTGCTAATAATGGGCACAAGAAATTGACATTACAAAATAATGGGTTGCTCGTATTATTACTCTTGCGTTTAGCCCATTTGCAATGAAATGATGTTTGGGCCTAAAAATGGAATGTATAAAAATAAATAAATAAGATATTAAGGTTCACAACTTTGTAGAGAGCAAGGAGCATGGTGTTTTAAGTACTAACTAGATTTTCTTTACAACATATGAGCATTCAATTGAAAATTTAAAAGTATTATAAATCATGAAAAACAAAATAATTAATGCGCAAATAGTTTAAACCCCAATGAAAGAATGCGAGAGTCTAGCTATATATAATTAATCATTCTATTTCAATATTATAGTATTAATGGAATAAAAGAACTTATATTTGAGGGCAGTGGCGGACCTACATAGGGGCCCGTAGGGGCACGCGCCCCTGTAGAATTTTTTTGTAATACATAGTATATATATATATATATATGTTATATGTATAAATGTATTATTATATTGACATAAAAAAAAATACATGTTATTAATTATCATGCAAAATTATTTCAATATAAAAGAATAAAAAGGAAATGTTTGGAAATGTTTAGAATTATTTAATATTCAATAGTATGTTATTTTTTAAGTTGTGAAATTTATACTTGTAATATACTCAACTCTTGTTTATTTCCTTTTTCCTTCTAAAATACACAAAAAAACAAATATTATACATAAATGTATATACTACGTTGGGATTGGATCAAATGTGTCTCTATTCATAAAATGAGAATGTGATACTCAACCCTAACTATTAAATAAGAAACAAAGTATCTGGTCAAGATTTATATTTTTATTTTTTTGGTTGCTTAAATATTAATTTGACCATTGACCTACGACGTTCAACGTTGACCGTAGTTGTGCCCCCATTGTCCTTAAAGTCTGCGTCCGCCCCTATTTGAGGGCGAAATCATAACTGTAATTATTCCGTCTAGACCTCAAAATGATAAGAGTGGTCGATCTGTCCGGTCACCAGTGATATTTGTTGATTGAATGCAATATTTTATCATTCGTCTTGGTGTAAATAGTTCATCCTCTTAAGAATTAAAAAATCTGAACCGATTTACCTAACGGTTCAGTTATTGTATAATTTTCTAAAATAAGCATTTAGAATATGGTATCGGGTAATGTGGTTTTGGTTAATCTAGTTTTTGTCAAACCAAAATGAACAAAGTAATTGCATGTCTTTCGGTTATGAGACAAGAATCATTTTTATTTTCNTTCATTGAAGAACCTAAATGAACAATAAAAAACAAAAATTATAATCCCAGCACAAAAACCGGCTATTCATAAATATATGTATATTATGTATATGTAGGCTTTTTAGTTAATTTATATTCAGAAACAGGAAAAAGAATTTGGTATCGGAACATTTATAAATATTAAGAATTAAATCATTAAGATAAAACACATTTTTATAAGAACCTTTGAACCGGCTATTTTCTATTCAGTCTGGAACGGGTTATCGATTTTTAAGTCCCACCGTTATCATCTCTAGGAGGCTCTACTTATAACCATTCATGAGTAATTTTACACTTTAATTTCCGGAAAACTCTGATTTTTTGTTATAGTATCACAATAAAGTTTGAATAATTAAATTTTTCATTTGAAAGTTTTAATTTTAAATTATTCTCAAATTAAATGTTGGAATTATAGCTAGCTCGGAGAAGAAGTGAAGATGGAGGATGAACCACAGAATCATGGCCATGCATATGTTCTGCGTTTTGCGTTTCTTTTATTTTCTTTTAGTTTGAATGAAACGGTGTCGTTTTGTTTTTTTCTTTTGGTTTTAATTGTTGAGTTCATACGGCGTCGTTTTCCTTAAGTATAGAACGACGCCGTTTTGGTCATCTTCTTTGTTTTGTCGTCTTGCATGCATAAGTACTGTTGATGTACGTTGTTCATTTTGAGAAGATGATGAAATGATATTGAAAGATCCCAAAATATCTGGTTTTATACTTTTGCGATTTTACATGGTATCAGAGCGATCGATCCTGAAGGTTTTTGAGTGATTCAAGTAAAGCTCCGTTTCTGTACAACAATGGCGACGAGGCGTGAAGGTGCTTTCAATGTTGCTGAATCAGATGCGCGACAGGGAGTACCTTCGACCAAGGATCCGTTTTTCCTTCATGGATCAGACAATCCTGGATTGATGCTAGTATCGAATCAGCTGACCGGTAAGAATTTCCTTTCCTGGAGAAGATCGATGACCATAGCCTTGGGAGCTAAGAGAAAACTAGGTTTCGTTAATGGTGATATAGTACAACCTGATGTTGATGATGATGAGTATGATGATTGGAAAAAGGTCGATTGGATGATTTTGTCATGGATTTTGAATTCATTATCGAAGGATATTGCTGAAACATCTAAGGAACTTTGGGAAGAAATCTGTCAACGGTATGGAGAAAACAACGGACCTATGCGGTATAAGTTGCAGAGAGAGATAAACACTCTAACTCAAGGTCATAGTTCGATTATGGATTATTTTAACAAACTGAAGAAATTATGGGATGAGTTTGCTTGTGTTGTTCCTACTCAGACCTGCAATTGTCCTAAAGGTCTAAAAACAGCTCAACATGAAGCTGAAACAAAGCTAATTCAATTTCTTATGGGATTAAATGATAGCTATGATCATGTGAAGAATCAAATTTTGCTGTTTGATCCTCTGCCAAGTGTTAACAAGGCATATTCAATGCTACTCTCAGCAGAAAGGCAGAGATCTGTCACAAATAGCCTTGATACAATGGAGAATATGGCTATGAATGTCAAAGGTGAAAGTTATGGTCGGGGACAAGCAGGACAGGGAAGAGGATATGGTGGAAGAGGTGGTAATTGGCAGAGTGGTAGAGGTAGAAGTGGTATCAGGTTGAGCAAAGAAGAAAGAGCAAAGTTATTATGTGGTATGCATGGTCATACTATTGCCACATGCTTTAAAATCCATGGTGTACCAGAATGGTACAAAGAATTGAAGGTGCAGCAACCCAGATCCTATGCCAATAATGCAGAAACTTATGATAATGAAGAGAAATGGGGAGGACAAGGATCTGAAAAAAGGAGTTCAACAGATAGTGAACTGTCACTAGTTGTGAAACAATTACAAGAGATCACTCAGTATATAAAGGGAAAAGAGACTGTGGAGAGACAAGTGGATTATGCTCAGATGGCAAGCTTTGCTCACAAAAAGGAAGAAGATGGAGTTCACTTTGCTCTAACCATTGCTGAAAATTTGAAAAGTGGGGCATGGATCATAGACACTGGAGCTAGCAGGCATATGTGTGGTAATATCAGCATAATGAAGAAAGTTTTTGTGCTAAAGGAGCCTATCTCGGTGTGTCTACCAGATGGTTCCTACAAGACAGTGGATACAGGGGGAACAGTTACAGTGACTAACACTCTCACCTTAAGAAATGTCCTATATGTGCCAGGTTTCAAATACAATCTTCTTTCAGTCAGCCAGCTTTGTGTTGATGAAAAGGTGAACTGTTCTTTTTCATCTACTGCTTGCACTTTACAACTCACTGAAAATGGAAAATTAGTTGGTAAAGGGATATCAAAGGGAAACCTGTATGTGCTACAAAGCAATGAAGTGGTTGAGCACAAGAAGTCTGCTATTAATTGCAATTTCTCTTTGGCTATGTGGCACAAATGTCTTGGTCATGCCAGTTACACTACAATGCAGCACCTACCATTTCTTAAAGGAAAATTCACAGATTCAGAAAGCAAGGAAGTCCAATCATGTGAGATTTGTTTTAAAGCAAAACAACATAGATTGCCCTTTCAAAGCAGTTACATACATGCAAGAAGATGTTTTGAGATATTTCATGTGGATATCTGGGGTCCTTGTAAAGAGGAATCACTTACATCAACACCTTTTTTCTTGACAGTGGTTGATGATTTTAGTAGAGGGGTATGGATTTTTTTGATGACTCACAAGTCACAGGCCGCAAAATTCTTGAGTGATTTCATTTTGATGATAGAGACACAGTTTGAAACAGTTGTCAAGAAAGTGATGACTAATAATGGGCAGGAGTTTCTAAGTAAGGAGCTGCAGAATTTTTTTAAGCAAAAGGGAATAGTTCATGAGACAAGCTGTCCATACACACCACAACAGAATGGTGTGGTGGAAAGGAAACACAGACAACTTCTTGAAATTGGAAGGGCTTTGATTTTCCAAGGTCATTTACCACTGAAGTTTTGGCCATACTCAATTCTAGCAGCTGCATACATTATAAATAGGCTGCCTAGTGCTGTTTTGAACTGGCAAACTCCCTTTGAAAAGGTGTATAAGAAGGTGCCAGACTATACCAAGCTTAAACCTTTTGGGTGTCTGACCTATGCAGCAAAAATACAGCCACTGAGATCTAAATATGCACCAAGGGGAAGTAAATGTGTTTATTTGGGGAATGCCACAGGGAATAAAGGCTATCAATTGTATGACATAGATAGTGGTGAATGCTTCATAGCAAGGGATGTAGTGTTCTTTGAAGAAATCTTTCCTTATGACACACCACATCAGGAAAATATTGTGTTACCTCAACTTGCAAATGAACATGAGGAGTATGAACCACCAACTGTGGATATCATTCACACTTCAGAAGAAGAAACATATACTGATGGTATGAGAAGGAGTCACAGGATAAGGAATGCACCTCAATGGCATGATGATTACATTTTAGATGAGCACTCAGCACACTGCAGCAACCTTGATCCACTGGCACACAAAGAATTCATTGCTAATATCTACACTGAGAAGGAACCCTCACACTATAAGCAGGCTGCTTTGCACCCTTCTTGGGTGGAAGCCATGCAAAAGGAATTGGATGCACTTGAAGACAACCATACATGGGAGCTTACAGAATTACCACAAGGTAAAAAGGCAATTGGTTGCAAATGGGTATACAAAATCAAAAGAAAAGCTGATGGTTCAGTTGAAAGGTTTAAGGCACGGTTGGTTGCTAAGGGATATAATCAGATAGAAGGGGTGAACTACTTTGATATCTTTTCCCCAGTGGCAAGGCTAGTCACAGTGAGATTTCTCATCGCAATGGCAATTCATAGAGGCTGGGATTTACATCAACTAGATGTGAACAATGCCTTTCTTCATGGCACACTATCTGAAGAAGTTTTTATGCAGCCACCTCAAGGGTATAATAAAGCCAAAGCTGGTCAGGTTTGCAAGCTGATTAAGAGTCTTTATGGGCTTAAACAAGCTTCGAGGGAGTGGAATCTTGAGTTGTGCAGGAAATTGTCCCATTTTGGCCTTCTTCAGTCTTCCTATGACCACTGCCTCTTTACCTTAACCAAAGGGGATGATTTTCTGGCATTACTGGTTTATGTAGATGATGTTTTGGTCACTAGTTCATCACCTTTACTCATCAAGCATTTGAAGATCTTCCTGGACCAGCAATTCACTATCAAAGATTTGGGAGCTGCCAAGTTTTTCTTGGGTATTGAGTTTGCTTATTCTGACAAAGGGGTTTTACTATGTCAAAGGAAGTATATTTTAGACATTCTTGGTGATTTAAACATGCTGACATGTGCTTCTGCCCCTACTCCATTGCCACTTGGAATTCATTTAACAGCACAAAGTGGACATCCCTTGGATCAACCTGACACTTATAGGAGATTAATTGGGAGGTTGTTGTATCTTGGCCTCACTAGACCTGATGTCACCTATGCCGTTCAGCAACTTAGCCAGTTTGTTAATAGCCCACATGACTCACATTGGCAGGCAGCACTTCATATACTCAGGTATCTAAAGGGTTCTCCTTCTCTGGGATTGTTTTACCCTAATGATACTTCATCCTTCACACTTGTGGCCTACTGTGATGCTGACTGGGCCACCTGTAAAGACACTAGGAGATCGATTACTGGCTTTTGTATCTTCCTCGGGGATTCTCTCATTTCTTGGAAAAGCAAGAAACAACATACTGTGTCTAAGTCATCCACAGAAGCCGAATATAGGGCGATGGGATCCACAGTTTCTGAGCTTATATGGTTACACTTTCTTGCTCAAGAGTTTCGTGTTTCCCTGGTCTTTCCTATTCCCTTATGGTGTGATAATCATGCTGCTATGCACATCACGGCCAATCCCGTCTTCCACGAAAGGACCAAGCATCTTGAAATTGACTGCCACATTGTTCGCGACAAGTATAAGCAGGGCTTTATTTCTCCTCTGTATGTAGCTTCTTTGCACCAACTTGCTAACTTATTCACCAAAGTCATAGCTGGGGCTCGTTTTGCTGTTCTCGTGTCCAAGCTGGGCATGTTGCGTGCACACCATGGCCCACCTTGAGGGGCGGGTGTTGGAATTATAGCTAGCTCGGAGAAGAAGTGAAGATGGAGGATGAACCACAGAATCATGGCCATGCATATGTTCTGCGTTTTGCGTTTCTTTTATTTTCTTTTAGTTTGAATGAAACGGTGTCGTTTTGTTTTTTTCTTTTGGTTTTAATTGTTGAGTTCATACGGCGTCGTTTTCCTTAAGTATAGAACGACGCCGTTTTGGTCATCTTCTTTGTTTTGTCGTCTTGCATGCATAAGTACTGTTGATGTACGTTGTTCATTTTGAGAAGATGATGAAATGATATTGAAAGATCCCAAAATATCTGGTTTTATACTTTTGCGATTTTACATTAAAGACTTACTTTTACATTTTAGTTCTCAATTGAAAACATCAATATACTATTATTTTAAAATTTATATTTCAAATAATTATAAGTATCTTTAGTAAAATTACTTTAATAAGAAAATTCATTCATTTAATCTAAATTAATTTTGACAGAAGCAGATTACTATAACATGTCATTCGATGAACTGAATATTAATGATTGTCTTCGAATATTCACAAGAATCTGAATCACAACTCGAGAATAAAAATAGCAATAGAAAATCATATTTGTGTTGTGTGAAACCAAATACCCACAAGTCATCACAACTCTTGTCCATGATTTGGCGGATTTTCCAAATTGATTTTTATTTTTTCTGTTGCTTAAACACAAGTCATATATGACCGACATTGTATTGGAAGCAGTAAGCTCAATTGACTAAAAAAAAAACTATGTCACAGTTCTTGTCCATGATTTGGCGGATTTTTCAATTTGATTTTTATTTTTCCTGATTGCTGAAACAAAAGTCATATGATTGTATTGCAAGAAGTATGCCCATTTGACTAGAACAAAGCTAACTCAAATCGATCAAATAATATAACATATATACATTTAAAATACAACAATCTGAAATAATACAATAAATTTAAAAATCATATCTTGAAGTAAATCTTCCTTTCCTTTGTCTTCATGGTGGATTTCATATACGAATAAAGTTTAATAGCATTTATATTCTTATAAAAGCCAACAGCCACAATAAAAGAAATTAAAAAAAAGTGTTAACAAAAATAGCTCAAAATCAT